AGATTCCTCTTCGAATAAAAGTCTTTCGGAATCAACAACCTATTATATTCATGGTTTGCTTCATTCCTGACAGAACGTAAACAAATGGTAAAGTAAGATGACTCTCATTAACAAGATCAATAACTAGTGGAGTTATCCAGGGAAGTGTATTAGTTCCATCCTTGTTTCTCATGTATATAAATGATATATGTAACATCATAAAATTTGAGAGACCATACATATACGCTGTTGACCTGAAAATAATATACAGCTTTGAGTTTGAAGCCCTAAGTGAAAGTGTGTACCAGATTCGATGTGACCCCAACAACCTAACAACCTGAAATGTAAAATTCCGATTACAATTTAAATACAACAAATGTGCAACCATGCATTTCGAGAAAACCCCTTTATGAACTAATACTTCACTTAAATAAATTTACAATTCAGACACTCAAACCAATTCACGATCTAGGAATTAATTACATAAGAAGCCTAAAATTGCAAGAGTATGACTCATCTGCCATCTCAAAATCTAGACAACTGACAGACTTCATAATAAAATGTTTCTTCATAACAGAGGCTAAGGTCACCTTTTTCAAAATATATATACGAACTTCCTTTGAGTGCTGCTAATTTATCTCACCAAACACGAATGCCACAGACAATATAAGTATAGATATTCAAAAACGATTTACATGTCGACTATAAGGATGTGACTCCCCTCCCGAGTACATAGACAGATGTAAGCACCTCTCCTTAGAACCTTTATGGTATCGTTGACTAACGAACAATCTAACATTTTTCAACGGAGTAATATACAGACTCCCATTTCTAACCTCCCACCAAATCATGATCCACGATCCTTCCTACAAACTCATAAACAAGATATATACATCACTAACTGTAAAACAACAAAAAACAATGCGTTGTGTGTCCCTTTACTGTGTAGTGTATTTTACTGTGAAACAGGTTGCCATTACCTATCTGTAACTGTGACAAAATCACCTTGTTCAAAAGACCATGTCTTTTTCCTAATTTCTAAATCAAGTAAACAGATAACTTTCTAATCTCGTGGACGCTGCTCAACTGTGGTTGATTACAAGAAAATCTTAATACCCTAAAATATTGTGAGTTCCTTCTAGTTCACGTTCTATCATCTTGAAAAAACTACTAGCTTTAATTTATAAGCATACACATGTTTTGTTTTCCCAATTGATTGTCGTTCTTCTTGTAGATTTTGCAGCTCTTTACTCGTTTTTGTTTATATTTTATGGTCAGCTATCCATTCCTATCTTCTAAGATACATATCATCCGGATAGTATGTTATAATTTATAACACAATTTAGCTTCATAGCAGTGTGATATAAAAAGTGGATATCCAACCAATAATATAGAAGCCTCAGCCGTTTGATTCGCTCGTAACATACAACTAGGATAAACAGCGTATTCCAACAAGATATGAAACACAGAGCTTAGTTTGAAGCAATATTCATACATACCATAAACATAGGAAGGCCTAACATCACGAAAGGAGGGAGGGTGACGTTTTTTGGTCAGCAAACATGATGATAAAGTGACAACCTCAATCCACCCATGTCTGTACGGCAGAACATTCTCTTTTCTTAAAGCTCCTTATGGTCTTGGGGGATGTAACTAATCAATGGTATTCATATTACTTTCCCGTGCCAAATATCTATTTGACTCAAGTTTGTAGTCTTGAAGTGGTTTCGCTTCCTAACGAGAAATCTTATCACAAGCTAAACTGGACAATTACACTAAAAAGGCATCCGCCCATGAATTAATGAAAGTTACAATAATAAAAATGAGAAGTAATAATTCCCACTAAGAAAAGGGATTTATGTATCAAGGCAACGTTTTTCTTAATATATTTTGGAGGTATGCCACTACAGATATACCTAATTATGATGATTAGGAGTACTTGAATTATAGTATGAGCTAAGAATACCAGAAATAACACAATTGGATCAAGAAGTACTCGATAAGCACGAACGAATGTACTGTATTTAGAATTCGAAACCAAGCATTCAACAAATACAAATGTATCATTAGCTCATTCAAACACCACAATATTCCCTCACATTTCTAAGAAAAGCATCTGACAAACTCCTTCGATCAAATTTGTTTAGTATTCTTATGTCTACTTTCAACAAATGTAACGTTTATCTTAGTGAACTGGTAATAGCCATACTGATTCATTGATGAGGTTTCTCACATCTCGCTGATACCACATAGTTTGTGCTTAGTTGGTAATTTTGTTTATTGTCCTCTAATATAGCTTTTCAGCAGTCACGAATGACCATCTTAAAAAATAAACTGGATATGTTATGAAAAACACACTTATATAAATCGGAATTGAGACTATCGATTCTTAGGTAATTTGTTCCATCTTTTACTTCTGAAGGTGGTGTAGCGATGCAAATGTTAAGGGGTTTGACTTCTAGTCACTAAATCTCAGGTGCGAACTCCGCCCCAACTAATCCTGTTTGAGGGACCGAGTAATATAACTAGCTCTTATACACATAATGTGGCTCGAACTTTGGTGTACAAATCCGTATACATGGTAAATGAGTTGAAGGAAATAGAAACTACTCTTGAAACCGGTGTAAATAAACCATTAGGTGATTAGTTAAAGAAATCATAAAATATTTTACCATTGCCTCTAGCCACGTGTATCTTATTTCTTTATCATAAGAAGAGTATTCCTAGTCAACTAGACTGTTCAACATAATGGTTGTTGGATAAACGATCCAAATAAGCAGACGACACAAGTTCATGGAAAATTTGCTTACGCGTATATAAGATTCTCCACTTTAACAAGTAACAAACTACTTAACAAATAATTAAAAGTTTTCATAACACCATTCCATCAATTGAAACTCCTACTATCATACAATATGACTTAAAAGAAATGTAGAGAAAAATATATCTTTAGAAATCATTTCGACAAAATAATTGTTTAAAAACTTGGGCGAAATGCATTTGTTCTAATATTTAAAAATATGACTGAAAGACAACTTTGATATATCTGGGGTCACGAATTTAGCTTGATAGTCAGCTTTTAGTTTATTAACACTTGTTAATCGACCTACGAAATTCGAATCTAACATTCACCCACGTTTTAACTAACTTATAACCATGTTAATTTCTGTGTTTAGTATTTAGCATATGTTATAACTTGTGGACCTGTGTGCCCCGTTTATTGTATATCGCAACGATACCGCCAATCAGAGAGCAACGAATTATCGATCGAACCAGTGACGTACAAAACACGTACGAGCAACCTGGAGTCCTTATTGGTCTCGCTTTCCGCCTAGCCCAGCCAGTTGAGTACAGAACAAAAATCTCAACTTTTTCAATATAAATCATTTATTTCAAACATACAGGGTTTATACACCAATCAAACAGACCACAACGTACCATAAAATAGAAAATAACATTTGTACAATATTTAGCCAGAAGTGGCTGTAAATGAGGGAGGTGGTGATTAACAGACAGACCATAACTCAAGAATGGTAAATCGTATAACAACAGTTCATAGGTCGAAATAAAACTCATAATAAGAGGGTCATGAATATGAACAGTTTGGTTACATAACAATTACACGATAAAAATATACTCATAGTATTGGCCCATAAATGTGAAGCGTGGAGTCGAGTCGCGGTTGACTATGAACACCACTACAAGAAGACTACGTGCCAGTTAACTGATAGAATCCCCCGTAAGCCAAATATCAGAAGGCAGTTGATGGCTGTAGTCAAGATGTATTTGTTGGCGATCTCGTGGTGTCGAAAGGATACCGAGATCGTGCCAAAGGAGTACAAGCGTGGTTATCGAGCGTAACCGAACTCGTGCAAGGTCGCAATCAATGGAGTAGTAATATGGCTGTCTTTAGCACAGTTAAACAGACGAGCACAGTAAAACAATCACGGGTACAATTGGTTATAATAATAATTGTTTCAATTAAATCAATCGCGTTCTCTTGGTAAAAGTAGGTCACTACAAATGGATCCCAAAAATTACTATTCATTATTCTTATCGGGATAAAACAGCATATGAATATTTTATTTTATTAGATAAGAAAAGTATTTTTTAGCTAGTAGTATTACTGTTGCTCGGAAAGATCGTACTACTAATGCATACTTCCTAAACTGTTATAAATTGAATAATATGTTGAACAAAATCTTACAGTGAAATAAAACGAACTTCATATTGAACAAAATTCACATTAATCTGAAAAGTAGTCTTGCGTTTATATCCCGTCCTAACGAAACCCAATAATCACGAAGTCTTGGAATAAAAGAATATATGTACATTAATGCGTATATTTACGAAGTATATACTTGTTAAGTGGTTGGATACAGTCGTTAGGATATCCTAGACCTGGATTTCTTGCTTTTCGGCACTCTTCAGCAAGGTGTGTCTGCGATCTTGATGGAATTAATACTCTCTTGATGATTCAATCACATGTCACTCAACTTCATGATCTGAGATGTTACTACTGAGTCATTTGGACTGCGACTGACCTCCAGTGGGACTAAAATAGTTACAACTGATTGATCATTGAGTACTGATCACTACAACGACTAAATAAACATCACATTTATTAATACTCAGCGACCAATCAATTGAAAGCACATTTGTTTAAAATTTTAGTGTACCAACTTGGTGTACTCACTAGTAAAGGGAGTTTTAGTACCTTTTTCCTATACAAAAAGTTATATCAAACTGTTCTCTTTCCACATAAATTTTAAATGATATTTACAAAGGGCAACAAATATTGGAAACAAAATGACAAAACATAAATATCCAATTTCTAATGGATTTATTATTTAACTATTGTTAAATTTAAAATCAATTGTATAAAATCAAAGATCAAGATTTGTGTTGTTTGACTTTTAATTATTAGTTTCTGGCACAATATAGTCTTCCAATTGCACAGTCCTTACTAGTCAATTATTGTTAGTTGATATTTGATAAATGGATAAAGTAAATGATCCAATCAGCGATTAATTTGTTTCTGATCTGTGTTTTACCTTGTTCCAGAATTCAGTAACAGCAAAGAATGATAAATTCATGGATAAGTTTTCCAATGATTACGTTCATATAAATGAGCATTTTTCAGTTCCATTTGATGGCATAGAATTGTCTAATGATAATAATAATAATAATCCAATTCATTATATAAACTATGGAATTGAAACATTTACATCGCCCACGTGCTTTGCTTATACCATGCATTTGTTTACTTTGATCACTGCAATTCTTGACCAACCAATAATTTATCCTAGAGATTTTGTTGAAATTTATCCCAAGTTAAAACTGTTGGATATTTCCACTCGTGATATTTCTCAATCAGATCGTTGGTAAGTATTAACTTTATTTTTATTACAAATTTTTAGTATTTGAACAATGTAGTATTAAGGAATTATTTTAGAATAAATATAGGACTTGTTAAGTATGGGACCAATTGTACTTTCAATAAGTAAATGTTATTTCGAGAAGTTAGGTGGTTGAAGATAGTCGACAGGAAACCATCTAACTAGGTTTCCTGATAGTTGGTGCTCGTCAACATGGTAGATCTCCAATCGCGAAAGAACTGATGCCTCCTTCAGTGTCCAAACAAGTGTCACCCAACTTGATCGTTCGAAACGTTGCCACTAAGCTATTTGGGTTGCAACTACTCCATTGTAGAACTCAAATACTAACAATTGATTGGTGACTAGTATCATGTTTGTCTTGTCCTTTTATTACTGATTACACACAGCATAAGATTAGTTCGAGAGTGATCTCCATCATGACGCAACATTATTGAGGAAACCATGATAAACAATTGAGCACTGGATAGTCGCTTCATCATAGTTTCAAAGGAAAATCTTATCTAAAGCAATTGGTCCCTTTTGTAAATTTCGATAGAACAATGAGAAGACGGAGTTGATCTGAGAAAGGCGATGTATTTGCACTATACATTTCGAACAATCTGGTCACACAGATACTTGTCAAGGCATATTAATAATAATATAAAATGCTCTGACAAGTATATGTGTGACTAGATTGTTCGAAATGTAGATTGCAAATACATCGCCTTTCTCAGATCAACTCCATCTTCTCATTGTTCTATCGAAAAACTTATCATTGTGTACTTTCTATGGTACACGCGCGAGTCAACCAGGTTAAGAGTAAGGCGACAATCTACCGATGAAATTGGATAAAGTTTGGGCTTTCTCGCTTTAGGATTGACTTAAAGTGGTTATGTAGGCCATTGGATTTCGACCTAGTTACTCAATGGCATCGTGTTTACAGAGCGATAGTCAGTCAGTCAGTCAGTCAGCTACAACATAGGACCAGGCACATATGTGCATCGGTCCAGGTTGCCATACCGCATCAGCACAACAAGATGAACACCGGATTCATAGCAGTGGTTAGGTCAAAGGTAGTAATATATAAGAGAAAGATTGCATATAGAGATATAATACAAGAAGAAAGAATTGGTTCGTAGAAAGAAAGATATGAAGCGATTTTAATCTCTTAGTTTAAGGGAAGACAGGGAGTGTATACACCGACGCCATTGTGATCGATTCTGAGCCATGTCACCAAGAGTCTCCAACCATTGGTTACGATAGTCACGCGGACCCCAACCAAGTAGTCTGCATCTACCAACATGGCTCAGACTAGAGGTTAGTGTCTTCAAACACTGATGCCACGTTTTGGTTTGGCTAGCTACGGGAGAGATGCTGCTATACTCCGGTCACGAAGAGGACAATGCTCCACACACTCAGGGAGTTGCTCTAATGCTGTCCAAAGTAGCACGAAATGCACTTGTAGGATGGGAATCTCACGGATCCAGAATCATCAAAGCATCATTCAAAACAAAGAAGGAGGGGATCTTAATGAATATTATCCAATGTTATGCACCCACCAATGATAGCAACGACGAAATTAAAGATCAGTTCTACGAGCGGCTGCAGTCAATCATTGAGAAATGCCCAAGAAAGGACCTAACTATTCTGATGGGAGATCTAAATGCCAAAGTCGGAATAGACAACACTGGATATGAAGATATTATGGGACGACATGGACTGGGAGAAAGAAACGAAAATGGAGAAAGATTTGCAAATCTATGTGCATTCAACAAATTGGTCATAGGAGGCACAATATTTCCACACAAGCGTATACACAAGGCTACATGGATCTCACCGGACCACACTACAGAGAACCAAATAGATCATATTTGCATCAACAAAAAATTCCGAAGGACAATGGAAGATGTGAGAACCAGGAGAGGTGCTGACGTAGCTTCAGATCACCACCTAGTTGTAGCCAATTTGAAACTGAAGCTAAAAAAGAACTGGACAAGTGGACAAACAGCACTACAAAGGTTCAATACAGCTTTCCTTCGAGATACTGTCAAACTCAATGAATTCAAGATAGCTCTCAACAACAGGTTCCAAGCCTTACAAGATCTACTGAAAGAAGAAGAAACTACTATGGAGGACAACTGGAAAGGCATCAAGGAAGCATTAACTTCAACGTGTCAAGAGGTTCTCGGTCTAAAGAAATACCATCATAAGGAATGGATCTCTACAGAAACACTGGACAAGATCAAAGAAAGGAAGAACAAGAAGGCAGCAATAAACAACAGCCGAACACGAGCAGGAAAAGTCCAAGCACAAGCTGAATACATAGAAGCAAACAAACAAGCGAAGAGGAGCATTAGAGCCGACAAGAAGAAATACGTGGAAGAACTAGCAACGACGGCAGAAAAAGCTGCTAGAGAAGGAAATATGAAACAGCTTTACGATACAACGAAGAAACTATCAGGGAAATACAGTAAACCAGAGAGGTCGGTCAAAGACAAAGAAGGCAAGCCAATCACCGAAATTCAACAACAGCGTAACAGATGGGTAGAATACTTCGAAGAGCTCCTGAATAGACCGGCTCCAATGAATCCACCGAACATCGAAGCAGCACACATAGATCTTCCTATAGATGTCAATCCACCAACTACGGAAGAAATTAGAATGGCCGTCAGACAAATCAAGACCGGGAAAGCAGCGGGACCCGACAACATACCAGCTGAAGCACTGAAATCAGACATCGAAGCAACCACAAGCATGCTTCACCTTCTATTCAAAAAGATTTGGGAGGAGGAACAAGTGCCGATGGACTGGAAAGAAGGACACCTCGTCAAGATTCCAAAGAAAGGAGATCTGAGCAAATGTGAAAACTACAGAGGCATAACACTACTGTCAATACCAGGGAAAGTCTTCAACAGATTGTTGCTGAACCGGATGAAGGATGTAGTAGACGCCCAACTTCGAGATCAACAAGCTGGATTCCGTAAGGATCGGTCGTGCACAGACCAAATTGCAACACTACGGATCATCGTCGAACAATCAGTTGAGTGGAACTCATCACTATACATCAACTTCATTGATTATGAAAAGGCATTCGACAGTGTAGATAGGAAGACATTATGGAAACTTCTTCGACACTACGGAGTTCCTGAGAAGATTGTCAATATTATCCGGAACTCATACGACGGACTACAGTGCAAAGTAGTGCATGGAGGACAGCTGACAGATGCATTCCAAGTAAGGACCGGAGTCAGACAAGGCTGTTTAGTCTCTCCCTTCCTCTTTCTTCTAGTGGTCGACTGGATTATGAAGACCTCAACATCTGAAGGAAAACACGGAATACAATGGACAGCTCAGAATCAATTAGACGATTTGGACTTCGCAGATGACCTAGCCCTCCTATCACGTACACACGAACAGATGCAGATGAAGACAACCAGTGTAGCAGCAGTCTCTGCATCAGTAGGCCTCAGCATACACAAAGGGAAAACTAAGGTCCTCAAATTCAAAGCGGAGAACAGCAATCCATTCACACTTGATGGCGAAACTCTGGAAGATGTAGAGTCCTTCACATACCTGGGAAGCATCATCGATGAACAAGGAGGATCCGATGCAGACGTAAAGGCGAGGATCGGCAAAGCAAGGGCCGCTTTCCTACAATTGAAGAACATATGGAACTCAAAACAACTTTCAACCAATATCAAAGTAAGAATCTTCAATACGAACGTCAAGGCAGTTCTACTGTATGGAGCTGAAACTTGGAGAACTACAACAACCACAATCAAGAAAGTACAAGTATTTATAAATAGCTGTCTACGCAATATACTCAACATCCATTGGCCGGATACCATCAGCAATAGCCTTCTGTGGGAGAGAACAAACCAGCTTCCAGATGAAAAGGAAATTAGGAAAAGACGATGGAAATGGATAGGACATACGTTACGCAAATCGTCAAACTGCATCACGAGGCAAGCCCTAACTTGGAATCCTGAAGAGAAGTGGAAAGGAGGAAGGCCAAAGAACACATTGCGTCAGATAATAGAAGCAGATATGAAAACGATGAATTACAACTGGACGGAGCTAGAAAGGATTGCCCAGGACAGGGTTGGATGGAGAATGCTGGTGAGCGGCCTATGCTCCTTCACGAGGAGTAACAGGCGTAAGTAAGTAAGTAAGTAAGCCCCTAACTTTCTTCCAACCATCTCCAATACCGGATAGCATTGCACGTCGTGGTAATCGGTATTCAGGTATACGTAACACGTGGCCCAACCATCTCAGTCGATGAAGATTCATAACCTCATCAACTGATTTACCATCATTCCCTAATACCCTGCGTCTAACGTCACTATTACTTACCCGGTGATCCCAGCAGACGCCAGCAATATTTCTAAGGCATCTGTGGTCAAATACTAATAGCTTACGAGTGTCTTCTACTCTTAATGGCCATGTTTCGCTGCCGTAAATTAAAACAGAACGGACTGCCGCGCAGTATACTCGTCCTTTTATTGATAGACGGATATCTCGCCTTCGCCATAGGTGACGCAAGTTGACAAAAGCCAATCGAGCTTTCCGAATCCGTGCTAAGATTTCGTCCGATACCAACCCATTAGGGCTGATCAGACTTCCAAGATAAGTGAAGTTGTTAACGCGTTCGACTACTTCACTCGCTATCCTTAGTTCAGGTGTTAACGCAGACCAGTCCTGAAGCAACAACTTGCATTTAGAGGGAGAGAAGCGCATTCCAAACATCCTGGCATTGTTGCTCAGTGCTACCAGAAGACTGCATTTTGTCAGCGTCTTCACCAAACAGGACTATGTCATCTGCGTATTCTAAGTCGATTAGTGGACCTCCTGGTAGAAGATCAATACGCGAGAATTCAGTCGACGAGAAAGTTATTTCCATCAGTAGATCTATGATGAAGTTAAACAAAAATGGGGAAAGTGGACAGCCTTGACGGACACCACTTGAGGTTGCAAAAGTAGATGACAGTTCGCCATAAGCTCTGACTCGACTAGTAGTGTTCGAGTAAAGAGCCTTTACAAGGTTTATGTACTTCTTGGGTACGCCTTTCAATGACAGACACTGCCACAGAATCTCGCGGTCTACCGAGTCAAATGCTGCTTTTAAGTCGAGAAAGACCACCATTGTCGGACGCCGATAAGTATGCCTGTGTTCTAGAATCTGACGAATGGTGAATATGTGGTCGATGCAACCACGACCAGGTCTGAAGCCAGCTTGGTTCTCTCGTGTTTGCAGTTCACGAGTCTTAGTTAGGCGTCTGATAATTATCGAGGCTAGTATTTTAGATATTACATTAGTTAAACTAATCCCTCTGTGGTTGTCACAGGATGATTTTGACCCTTTCTTATATATTGGGACGATAAGTGATTGTGACCAGTTAGATGGAATAACGTCTAACTCCCAGATTTTGGCTAAAATATTAGTCAACCTAGTCGCTAAAATTGGACCACCACCCTTAAAGACCTCTGGAGCCAATCCATCTGGACCAGCTGCTTTTCCTCGTTTCAGATTAACTATAGCCTTTTGAACTTCAGCAAGAGTTGGGGGACCTACTTCAATGTTCCATTCACACTGTCTGGGAATGGAGGGTAGTTGTAGAGTAGCTGAAGGCCAGCTGAACTGTTCTTTGAAATGTTCCGCCCATCGTTCTAAACGTCTAGACTGGGAGCAGATGAGTGTATCGTCTTTTTCCGATATAATCTCACTTACACTTGACTTATTAATTCCAGTTTCTTTTATTAGTCGGTAGAGCTGTCTTGTGTTCCCTATAGTCGCCGCCTTTTCCATCTCTTTTGCTTTCGATGCCCACCACTGCTCACGGTCGTTTCTTAGACTTTTTCTTAACCTAGATCTGATTTGTTGTCGCTCTTCCTCATGTTCGGAACCTGATGGGACGAGTTTGCGAGAATTCATCAGTGTGATAGACTTTGAAGAAATCCACTGGTTCTTTGAAACTCCGTGGTTTAAGACGCTAATAGATGTCACTGCTGCTTCCACAGCTGCTTGTATATCTTTCCAAGCAACATCTGGGTCAGCCTCGTTTTCAGAACTACCTAATCGTGACCTCAGTTGTTCCTGGAACCTACTTTTGGTTTCCTCGCTACTCAGTTCGGTTCTAATGGGTCTTTTTACTGTGGCTTTTTTGCGTCCAGTGAGGCGCAAACAGATGCGTGCCCGTATTAGGGCGTGGTCGGAGTCCAAGCAGGTACTCCAGAATGAGCGACAATCTTGTACCGACCCTCTCCAACGATGACTGATGGCAGTATGATCTATTTGAGTCCATCGTTGGTTTGGTGTAGAGGGTCGCCATGTTAGACGATGTCTCTCCTTATGCTTAAAATTTGTGTTTGCTAAAAATAAACGATTGTCTGAGCACAGTTGCAGCAGACGATCACCATTATCTGTTCGTTGTGCCGGAATACTAAAATACCCACCTAAATGCCTTTCTGTTTGGTTAAAACTACCTATCCGGGCATTAAAGTCACCTGCTACGAGTACTATGTCTGAGCGTTTAGCTTTCTGAAGAAGTTCGGACAGCTTTCTGTAAAATTCATCTTTCACATCATCTGAGCTGCAGTCAGTGGGAGCGTAGGCAGAAACGACGAAAAGGCAACGACGTGTGTCCCTATCCTTCCGAGTTCTTACGGAGCCGTTTAGCCGAACAGCACATAGACGACTGTTGACGGGGATCCACTCTAACAGTGCTTGTTCCGCCCTCATGCTTAGTGCTATGCCTACACCTGCCAGTCCACGAGAACTGGCCATCGGGTCACCAGATACACGTAGGGTGTATCTCGTTGGCTCTCCGTTTTGACGAGGTGAGGTCAAGTGAATGACCACACTGGAGTCCTGTATGCGTGTTTCGGAGACACAGCATACATCAATGGAAAGAGATTCTAGGGTTTTAGCCAAGGAAGCCTGCTGACCGATTTGACATATAGTACGTACGTTGAAAGCTCCAATGTGTAGTTTGGAGCGAGGTTTCAGTAGACCTGGGACAGAGTTTTGAGCACTAGAATCGTTGGCTACGGTGACACTTGAGGAGGAAGCCGAAGGAGGAAGTTTAGGGTTGAAAGTCGATGTAGGAGGAATAATAGGAATTGAAGAGGAAGGTTGATTATGAATACAGTGGTCTTGGGTGCTGTTAGAGGTATGAGGGCGGTTATCACTTCCCGGTTGCCCACACCGTGGAAGGGTTCTTCTGGAGGTACCTGAAAAGGAAATTGGATTAGTGGCGGTCTCAGTGACCTGAGAGCGTGACCGCAGTGCCCAAGGGACAACTGCTTGAGGCCGGTCGCGCACGGCCTTTTCGTGGGAGGTTTTTGACATGTTAGCTCCGTTCTTCAAAGGGCCTTACCGCCGAAGACGGAAATCCGTGAGGTAAGGTGAGGTGTGCATTTTTAGGGTCGACCTTTTCTAACTCCACCCCTCCTTGTGGGAAGGCAGCATCGCTGTCATGCTGGTTGTCTGAAGGAAACACCATACTGCTGTCACACCTCTGTACAGTCAGCAGTACGACTTCGCCTTCGGACCTTGGGTTTGTTGCTTTTAGTCTTACCGCTCTTCAACCGACCTGTCTGACATGGTAGGACCTTGAGGAACGGTTGTTCCAGTCAGTATAGCTCGGTTGCTTCATCACGATAGGCAAGCCCGACCACCACGTCAAGGTAGCAACAACGGTCGGGAGAGCGATAAGGAACTAGTGATCGAGTTTTCTGTCAAATCCTTCATAGAATTATGTGGAAGTAACATTTATTCTTGCTCTATTACTTTCGTAATGTCGATTAATACTGTTTGCCTATGTACAGAGTTAAACTTCGTAGATTTAATTAAGATATGGAACAACCACGTACACTCACTATTGTATTTAAATATTCCCTTGTAATCTCATCTTGCTTTTTACAGCCAAGCAATTTGCATACTAAAGCGTAACATCATGTCTTTGGGTTCAAGATTTAATTTATATCTGACGCCAGAAAAGCATGCGTTGTATAACTTGAAATATTTATTTGATCATTTTCAGAACAGTAAGTGAAGTTAATGTGACGTAACTGTTCTCAATTTTTATTTAATCGAAAATATTACGGTTAATTTCGTTTGGTGTTTCCGACCAAACGACTAAGTGATGTGTCGAAATCCCGGAACGAAAACAGTAGCTTTTTGTAAAATACGGTAGTATTAATAATGACAATATAAGAAATATATTTACAAACCTCAGTACATGAGGTTTCTATGGTGCTTACCGCGTGCATATGCATTCAGAGATGAAGAGGTTCTTGGAATAGCTGTATGGGGATTATTTACCAAAATATACGATAATCTACTTGATAGCCAGTAGTTTTGTCAATACCACAGTGCAACCAACAATCGAAACGAGTACTAATAACACAAAATACTAAAACTATCATGCCGTAACAAATTTTTGATGACTAAACAAGAGATCGAAGTAACTGTCACAATTGTAACAATAAGTTGACTGAAAGTCACAAGTTTATGTAACATATCCATAAATTCAACTCAACAACGAAGGGATATTATGCTTCTTATGTACAAAATTGATTGAAAATGCCATTAGCTTCTGAATATTAGTGAGTAACATGATGTGCTACACAAAACGAACCGGATGAGAAGGAAATAGAGGTAAAAGATGCAAGTGGAATTGACAATTAAAATGCAATGTAACCTGCTTTTACTCGTACACTCTCAAGCCACTGTCTTCTGCCATAACGACTATGTTGATTGCCACTATTACTAATTATAACCGAGGTGACCGGACAATTGACTTATCATCAAATTTACACCGCATAAGTTTTGAAATAATATTACCGAGCGATCATGTAAATGCATATTGGGGAGTTCAAACTATTATTATTGTGATCGACAATTAAATAAAACGACATGAAACTGATGGTCACTAGGCAATCAGTCAGACTCCATTCCTGTACCGTATAACATCATCTTTAATATTAGTGAATTAAATGTTCACGATTGTATAAGAGTTTTAGAGAACATTGAAAATTCTAATTTTTTGTCATGAACCGACTTCAGTTGGATGACCAGGAAGCAATTGGAAGGTATTTCGTTCGGGTAAGGGACTCGCCAGTAGTTTGTATCCGCGATCCCTCAGGGGTGCGAACCCGTGATCGTCAAGGTTAGCAGCGATCGCTTAATGTTCAAACCACTGAGTTTCTACTTCGTAATTTACATCCATATTTTGAGATATTGCATGGCCATCACCCATTCTCACTGGTGATATCTGTCTCACACCCGATATAGTTGTGAGTGGGGTGGGAGATAAGATAGATACGGTCGATGAGTCCCACAATAGGACAAAATAGTTGTTCCTTGTTTCATTGGTTGTTTAGATAAAGCCAGTCCTTGGTATAAATCTGCAAATATCTATACGAATTTGCGCATAACTCAAAGCAAAAATAATCCATCTGTTACCACTTGATCAGCGTCGTTATTTCCTGGTGTGTATGTGTATTTGGATTGCGAAAATGCGTAGTGTTTTTGATTTAGTAGAGTAGTTAAGAACATCCATGACTTAACTTAATATTACTCATCTGAAAATAAATGACCATAAACAATCGAGGAATAAAGTTATATAGTTCGTAAGCCCTGAAATACTCTCAGCTCATTTGTGTATTATAAATTTCAGCAGTCAGTTTGTATCCTGTTGTTGTAGTCATAATTAGCGTAAATATAGATATTATTGACGTTATGACAATTGAAACAAAATGGTAGATGTTAACTATCGATTAAAGTCACGTTTTTCCATCAGTGTTTCATGTGAAACACATATTCTCAAGAGATTTGTACAAGATTGTAAATACTACTGTTTGTCTATTGAAAGACACCACCAATTCATATTGTGAGATTCGATATAAATCTTAGAAATCTAACCGCGGACGGTATGTACAGAAGTCCAGCAGCATTAACTATTTTCCAGAAGTGGAAAAATTTTACTTAATTTGGTGCTTATTGTTTTTTAATCTGATCTGATGATGATTACAAAACTCTCATTACTGTTTGAGGAACTCCTAAGCTTGCCAATTTCGTGATATCTTCTAACTTAGTATCCACGTGATCTAATCACCTATACACATTGTTTCAGATATATATTTAACCAAGGAATATTAAAATGTTTGAAATTCAAAATCATGTGCTAGTCACCACAATCAAGACACATTTAACACATGAAATATACCTGGTTTACTAATCTTAGTATATTGCTGAATCAACATAGATTTAAACAATATTTAATATAAACAATAAACCGTTACTTTGATTAGAATTTACAATTAAATCAATGACTTAAAGGTTAAATAATCTAACTTCTAATCATTAAAAGCCATGGGTTTGAATGACTCTTCTCAGCCTACTATGGTTTAAGTAGTCAGTTAGTAAGTGTTGCTACCCTGTTGTATGTGTGAACACATGCACAAATTGTAGCTTATAATAAAGTACATAGAACATATTCTTGGTAAAGTGAATTAATAATGATAATTATTTTATACTAGATAAAATTCAATCTTCATCAAAATACTTCTTTTTTCTGTCTTTTTTTCAGATTTATTAACAAACATATACCAACATGATATTGTCGGGTTTGTATAGTTGTTTTGTTTTTCTTCAAATAAAATACAATGTGGACTTCTTTTGAATGACTGGTCATAACAACAATTTGATTATGGATTGATTGATTATGAATATGATGATTATCTCATTTTATCTCAATATATTTTGCACTTGTTAAAATGCATTAAATAACGCAGATAATTAGTGACACTGTGTGTGTGTGTTCTAACATGTAAATTATAAGAGCAATTAATGTGCATAAAAATAGTTTTATCTAATTAAAAAGTACATAATATTTATACTTAACAAATCAATAATTAAGACTTGTGTTTACTCTGTAAATATAAGTACACATAGTTAGTTTGTTTTCTTTTTTTACACAATGAAAAGGCGAGGTCATTGGAGCATGCAGATAAAATAATATGTACTTCAATTTATTATTAATACGTCCAAGAATAACTAAGAAAATTATTCTCTGAAATACAAAAAGAATTACTCAAACAAAAAAATAACCTATGGATAATAGGTATATTTCTTGTGAATATCCCAATGAGTAGAGAATTGTATTTTTGACGTTTTGTGACCTTAATAACCGAAATGCAATTAACACAAGTTTAAACAGTAAATGGGGTTATTTCTTTTGTATTATTTAAAGTTGTGTTAATCTTTTTTCGGTCGGTTATTTACTCTGAAGAAGTGGATTAATATTGAGTCACGAAACGTCGGAAATACAGTTTTCTACTCATTTGGAAATAACAAAAAACATATTTATTACTAACTTTCTGCTCAATGCTGTATTTACTTGAAACTATCAAGTCCAACCTTGACATTGACATCTAAACAACAACCTGTGGTTTTGAACCCTTTAGAAATGTCGCCTTATTTGAATTAAGTGCTGCTGATAAGTGAAGTCCAGGGAATGTAATAGCCCAATTTAACCATAATTGTGCATTGATAACTTCTATTGACCTCATCAGCAGAAGTGGTTGTCATGTCTGACAGCACCTCAAGCCAGAGTTGTATCACATCAGGAATCCCAACCAGGAATTTGTGAATGGATCAGCAGATGCCAGTCTTATACATCTTTCTTTCATAGCCGGGCTCCATATACGCTTTTCTAATAGGTCTCAGCCTCAGCAAATAAAGCACAATATGGAAATAGCTGAGACAGCATTTGTAGCACATGTCCGAGTTATCGGAACCTTTTCCTCCACATGGTGACTCCGACTGAATTATGTAACCGGGTACCCAGTTAGACTTCGTCGAACCTCCGCATCACCGACATGGTATTGCTACTGAGTGTCAGCAATCCATCAGACAACTATGACCGCATACAGAGTTATCTGATACCAACTCGGAGGGGTCAGGCTTAAAAATCATACATCGAGACTGATCCCATCGATGTTTTGAACCCGACATTTTACAACCAGACTAACATCATGAAGGCGCCGGTGCCATAGGTTGACACAAACTGATCTGATATTCAATATACACAGGTCGACCTTATCAGCCATGTCACCGTCGGCACTAATTCACCCACCATCCAGAGACACGAGTGTTCCGACTAATAACAGATCACAAATAGTGCGCAGTATCATGTTCCCAGGCATTTGGTTGCTCGGACTGCAATGCTGTCGAATCCAAGCAGTCATTCAGAAACAACAATAAATGGACATGGCTGTCGAAAATCTTCAATTTGGCGACTGCGCTGACTCCACAACTGTGCTGTAAATTAATACAACCTGAACATTTGCCGTCCGGAAGTCGGTTTCGTGTCATATCACCATTCCCAAAACTAACACCTGTGTAGACACAGGCTTTTGTCTTCTTCGTAATAACGATAACAACCACTTTGATAGTACAAAGATCGTATCATGTTCACGGCCTCAAATCGGACAATATTTGGGTAGCCTGCCCTTCAACGCACAGTTAGACGGTGGAGTTCTTAGTGATATTCAAAATTCATTTCTCTTGGTGTAATCAACGTCTTTTGATATGCGGTTAAATAAAAGTAGCAAAATAAAGTTTCAGACCAATTGTTAGGACGGATATCCGCATCTAACATTACAAACGGAAGTATATCTCTCAGATACTTTGCACGAACCCTTAGATTGTTAGGCCAGTTTAAAGACCCATTCAGAAAAAGAGCTTAAACTAAGATCAGATGGGTAGATTGACTGGACTACTTTGTCATACCACAGGGCTGATATTTCTTATTAATAATAGGCGCTTACAAGAAAACAACGCAAACATGCACCGGCTTCTTTAACAGCCCAACCGCTATTGTTTACTTGTGAAATAGAATTGCTTGGTAAGTGCGATGAGAAGTATTTCAGTTAACTCGTAAGTAAGTCCAGTGAAGTAGAAGTCATTCAATTATAGATAACACATTTATTCTGAGAAGTAGTTTCAATGAAAAATATGAGCAAGGTAAACAAAATTCTGCAATCAGGTGCACACAAAACTGATTTCATCAAATGGCAATCAGTGAACATTTGAGATTGCCATCGTCATACAGCGAGAATTTGTTCAAAGCTCAAAAGTTCCATTGATCACTTCTTTTCCAAAAGCTCCATGATATCTCCTACAATATCCTACAAGAAATTAAAAGTTTGGTCAGAAATCCTAAAACTAAAAGGTGATTACTTATCGATAAAACTGTGACAGTTTCATGAATTTTGTCACTATTAGACATTAAGCATCATACTTGGGACTAACCACCTAATACGGTAGACGGTCAAAATCAAGGAATTGTTTGGTATGGACATACACTAGTTCAATTTCCCACACTCCATATCAGTATTACAAACTACAGAATCAACGCTATGTGAAGTACATTAAAAATGTATTACAAATAGAAAAAGTGAGATCGGAGAAAGATCATTTACGGATGCCAGACAAGCAGGGGGTTACTCCACGTAATCATAGCTTGCGATTATCTCGCCAATATCAATCAGTAAGTCTGCCCCAACAGACGCAGGGCAGGTAAATGAAGAGAAAAAAATCACTTGTAATAAGTTAGATCTACAATATATATGAATTACGTAGTGTGAGGAAATTAGATATTCTTAGCCCTTGAACCCTGCAGTAGTCGAGGATTCCACTATTGCTTGACACAAACTGTGCTTGGATTGATATATGGTTCAATAACCGCTACACATCCAAGTGCTAAACGCGCTAACCGGTGTCACTAAACCAGGAAACGGAAAGATGAAGACTGCCATACAGAAGTTTTGTACGCTCCCACGCAAACCGTAATTATCATACCTAGTGCTTGTAGTACACTGATGTACAACTGATTGCAGGCTTGCGGACTATTACAAGGTGATATACAAGTTTTCTGAGAAAAATCAAACTTTAGAAGAACTAGTTGTATAGACGTAGCAGTTAACTAACTTCAGTCCAAACAGTCACGAGTGTGGACGTCTATTAACCCAATAGTGTTATTGACGAAAATGACTGTCACATTGGAGACCAAGACATACAAAACCGAAATGACAATATTGTGAAGTAAGGTTACTCGGTAAAGACACGAAGGTTCGTTCCGGAAGTTCTAGTTTCTTCGGTACAGATAACTATTTCATAACTTCAGAACTCAGTCGGAAAATCGTTTGGTCTATGACGTCATATAGTACAATGTAAGATAGTTAACTTAAACTCGAATTTCATTTATGAAGTTTGACATGACCAATAACTGAAGTAACTAAGCAGCGATGGACTATATTTCACGTACCATAAAACTAACAAGTAACTAAAGTTGGTGTTTCATTTTGTCATTCATGACAATTAACCGGTAACTTTATCAACATGTACCAGCTGTGAGGTAATATGCTGTGTCCAGATTGGTTTCTTTGACGTATAACCACTATTGAGGTGAGACTAGTTTGGAAACGAATTGATGAAATCATCTAAACAACTAATGTTCAGCGAGGTCACTAACCTGCTAAATATTCAAATGAGTAAAATTTCTTAATGGCAGCTTCAAATCTACAGGAACTATAGGTTACGGGAGGAAGTTAACGCACCCATTAAGTGACTGAAAGTTACATACTTAAGAAACAACACAACAAAATACTTAGACAATTAAGAAAAAATCGAAGAGTGTAGGGTGGATTGCTGATTTTGTCAATTTATCTTAAGTTACGTCTATCTATTTAGACAGTCGGAACTGATAACAAAATAGAAATATTGAAAATTCAGCAACTCACATTTGGGGCAGTTGTAGGAGAATATCTTTTAATCGGTTGGCCTTGACGATCTATAAGGAATTTAGAGAAGTTCCATTTAATATCACTACGACATTAGTAAAGAAAAAAACAATTACTTTGTTAGGGTACCATGTAGTCTACTTTTAAGAAATTTATAGAGATCATCAGCGTCAGACCCATTGACTTTTATCTTGGAAAACATATCGAATTGGACGCCATACTTTTCAGTCACAAACTTCTTAATCTCCGCTTCCCCCCACGGTTCCTGCAAATAGCATTGGTTTAAGTGTTACATACCTGTCCGCCGAATTGGTTGCAGGGGAACGCTAATATACGGAGGCCTTTGCCAACCAGTCGAGTGTGCATCTCCTGGAGTTGGCGATAGTTCTTGTCCGTTGCGCCTCACTTACAAGCGACGTTAACAATTAGACAAACGTGACCACTAAACAACGAATAATTATCATCCTATATAGAAGAAGAACATCGAACAAACCGGTATTTCTCTAAGGAGACATCCACACCATTGATATCTTTAACAGTGAATTCATATATTGAATTCCAAGACTTGTGGGATGAAGACTTAAGGAAGAAATTAGAGAGACCACAACGTACCATCACAGTACATCCAATCGTAAAAAATGATTTGGGAGATTTGAATAAGGCGCGACAAAACATCGCTGAGCCGGTCTTCAAGTGTTCCAAATGATTGTGAACGGAATTGAAGAAGATTTTGACCAACGAGCCTCATTGACCTGTAGCATTGGATCACGTTTACCACCAGGTAAGCATGTAGATGTGTGACAAAGTCATAAGAGAATCCTTAGTATATTACAATGGTTAGTAAGACTTATGAATGTGGACAACCAAACTGGTTGTTCCCCGTTGAGGAAGGAGTGCGGTGCGATGAGTGTAAAAAGTGGTACCATAGGATGTGTACACATCTAGGTTCTACGGCATACAAAAGAAGTGAGAAAAAAAAGCTGTAGGCAAAAACTACTGGTTAGCAAGTCATTGGAGACGGTATCAGAAACGAAAACTCCACTGCGTGTCAAGACAGATCTCTCTGAGAGGTCAGTCATTTTTCATAAGTTAAGAGAATCTTTGGATAAGGAATCAAGAGCTAGATTTGAACACGACCTCATTCATATTTAGTCCTTAATAAGCAAACTATTCCCAGATACAGTTTTAGAAGTTAGTATTTGTAAGTTTTATAGAATAGGACAAAAGGAGGATTCTGAAAGTCCTCAGAAGAACTGACTGTTGAAGGTTAAATTTATCACGCTTGAAGATAGGAACTTGACTCCAGGTAACTCACGTAAACTGATTGGATCCGGAATATACATCCGTGAGGGTCTCAGCCTAGCTGATCGTATTAAGAGACGAGCTGCAAAAGTGGAAATAAATGAGCGTCGCCGAAACGGTGAGAGAAACCCCGTTCTTAAGGGTTTTCAAATTGTGAAAGTTCGGAGCAAAACGATCCCTAAACCACTCTGGGTGGTAAGGGAAAGATCTCCACAGACTTAAAGGTATGCTACCGCAGTCCAGAATGTGTAGCAGATGATTTTCTCCTAAGTAAACTTAAGTCCTGGTGTAACAACGGTAAAAGCCTTGTAGTAGACGACTTTAATGCACCATATATAAACTGGGTTAACATAGAAGTAGGGTCATCGATATCGTCGTTTGACTGCAAACTATTAGAAACCTCGGTTGGACAGTTGCGCCGGCCCGTCCTAACATATGGAAGGCAGATATGTAGGCAATTAACTCCGCAGCATCGGCTGAGAACTGGGAAATTGACTCAAAGGCATCCGTACAAGAGGCATGGACTCTATTCAGGCAGTTATACATTCGGGTAACTCAACCATACATACCCTGGACTGTCCCAAAGAAAAAGAAGCACGGACATCCCTGGATAGGCCGCTTACTAAGACAAAAGAAGAAATGCTGGGATGTTGCCATCCGCCTTGGCACAGCAGGTACGATGGAACGCTACAGATCGATAAGAAACGAGTGTATAACAAAAATTCGGGAAGCTCAAAGAAAATATGAAACGCAGTTGGCACAATCTGCACTCAAGCAGCCCAAGAGAATATTCTCGTACATAAACTGCAGAACAAGGATGCATCATTGAATTCCCAACCTAATTAAAGTAGAAAGTGAATCTGAAATGATAGAGGAATATCAGGAAAAAGCAGAGGCTATGGCTGACTATTTTGGGGCAGTTTTCACTCAGGAACCTTCTCTAGACAAAGAACCAGACCAAAATAAAGAGTCAACAAACCACCTACTCACCATGGACTTCGACCAATACGATGTGCTTAAGGCTCTCAACACCCTAAACATGGAAAAGTCAACAGGACCAGATGAACTACATCCCAAAATCTTGAGACAAATTGCCCAATATATCGCGGCCCCACTGACTGTGATATTCAATATGTCACTTGACCAAGGTGTGTTACCTATGGACTGGAAGGATGAAACCGTCACTCCCACACATAAAACAGGACCAAGACAAGTTCATTCGAACTACAGACCTGTAGGCCTCACCAGTGTTGTAGTTAAAATATTGGAAAGAATAGTCAAACGGACCATAATGGCATTTATGGAAACCAATAACTTGCTAAACATAGAACAACATGGTTTTAGAAAGGGTCTATCTTGTACAACGAACCTCCTTATAGCAAGGGAGTTCTGGATTAATGCGCTAGACAACGGAAACTCAGTGGATGTTGTCTACATAGATTTCAGTAAGGCTTTTGACAAGGTGCCAACTAATAGACTGCTATTGAAGTTGGAAAACCTTGGTATTGCCGGACCCCTTTTAAAATGGATTAAGGATTTCCTAGTAGGTCGTAGACAAAAAGTAAGAATAGATTCCAAGTGCTCCATCTGGAGACCAGTACTTATTGGAGTACCCCGAGGTTCCGTCTTAGGTCCTTTACTTTTTATAATGTACGTTAATGATCTTACAAGTGTAGTAGTCTCCAATGTTACTATACGCTGACGATGTAAAAATTTTGCGAGTAACAACTGGAGACAAAGACGCATTTACTCTTCAGGCAGACTTAAATAACATGATAAACCGGTCTAAAGAGTGGCTGATGCTTATCAATGCAGAAAAGTGTGTTTACATGCACTTGGGGGATTCAAAGGTTAATACGTACAACATAAGTGATGTGTCATTACCCGTAGTCCGGCCTCATAAGGCTCTAGGGGTGACAGTGAGCAATGATCTTAAGACGACGGCCGATTGCCGGGGGGTCGCAGCCAAGGTGTTTCGAACCCTCTGGGTTTTTAAAAAGGACATTCACTAAGTAAGATACTACTATGTTCACCACAGTATACACATCCCTAGTGAGAACCAAGCTTGAGAACTGCGTTCAGGCTGAAAGCCCATGTTTAAAAGGTAACTCAGATATCCTAGAAAAAGTACAGAGGGCAGCTACCCGTGCAGTTCCAGAACTCCGGGGTTTACCACACAAAGAGCGGCTTGTAAAGCTGGACCTTTTTGCTCTTTCTTATCGCAGATTAAGGGGAGATCTAATTTTAATGTACAGAATACTGAAAAATGATTTTGGACCTAACTTATTCTCTCTTTTTCTTCTCACTTGATCGGGACATCTCAAAGGACATAGCAGGCGAGTAGAAAAGCCAAGAACGAACACAATACCTGTGGCATACAGGTTTTTACACCGAGTCATCAATACTTGGAACGTGCTGCCCGAAGCAGTGGTGTCCGCACCTTCAATAGACTCTTTCAAGAGAAGACTGGGCACTCACAGAAGCATACTAGAAAACGAATAACATAGGCCGTAGGCCCTCTGTCCTTGCTACACAAATCTGAATCTGAATTAATACGAAATGCTTTCATGATTCCTGATTATACATCAGGATCACGTTTACCACCAGGCAAGGATGTGTATGTGTGACAGTCATAAGAAAAGTCTTAACAAATTAATACGAAACGCTTTCCCGATTCCTGATGTATAGACCAAGTGTCTTCGAAAAGAGCTTACAGGAAATTTCTTGAACTACGCCACCCGTCATTGAATCCCAGCATTTGTCTACTCGTAATTAGTAGAAGGTGTGACTATAGTTCATTATGTTATGTTGCGATTCTAATTCCTGGCTATTCCTCCTGGATTTATAATTGAGCGTAAATAGGTATTTCAGTGGATGTTTAGGAGTGCTTAGGTTGCCGTATGCATATATGACTCATACATATTGATATTTCATTATCCTTTTCACTCAATTAAGACTTTCATCGCATCACTCCAAACTATGACTGCACAAACATTTATTCTAGCGTCATATCTTACTACAATAATAAGTTGTTTTTTCTTAATTATTTTTTGTTACTAATTTGACGATATATACATAGTCGTTTGTTCTTGTTTTATGTTCGTAAACACGCCAGTTAAACTGTTTGCGTATTTCACGTCTCCTTTATTTCTATTCCCTTATTTTCTCCATTTCCTTCTTTAAACTCAATTCAATATTCTTCTCAATTACACAGAACCGATTTATTATTATTAATATTCTACTATTATTACTCTAAATTTTTTTTAAATATGGCAAGTTTATGCTAACATTGCTGAAAATTGTGTATTATTGCGTTTTTTGAAGAAATGCGAAATGGTTTCATCACAACACTTATGTACCCATAAGATGTTTGTGAATAATAATAATAAGGGTCGCCTTTGAGTTGTCTGTACTCCGTCGAGTGAAGATTCAGTGATTCAGGACGTTCTTTATAAGGGTTTAATTTGAGTCTCTTAACTGATACCGTTGACCGACCTGACATGAATTCTGTAGTATTCCTCAATTTTATATTTGAGGAAAAGCCATTGCTTTTCCATATTCTAAACGGGGCCGGACCGGACTGCTAGTAACCAGTTGATGGAACTTGCTACTAGACTGTCCATTTAAAGGCCTTAGCTTACTTAAGGCTGTTACCTATATTAGAGCATAGACCGCCGATCAGAGTTCTAACACCAGTTCTGTGCTGTGTTCTCCTTACAACTTGTTTACAAGTGGTATTTGTGGCCTCAATCTTAGTCTCTGATTCTCGGTATCATGTGCTTCGTGATTAGCCTGGTTTATTAATGCCGTGGGGATTGAGTCACTTCTTGCTTTGTGATGGGTTAATGGTTTGAGCAAAGTGTAACCTGTCCACATACAGAGTCTTTTCCTAACCTCGTACATTGGCAGTTGGATTGTCCTAGTCTGCGGGTTAATATCGATCGTCCCTACTAAATGGATTTGGCGTAATGTGCCTAGACAGCCGTCTATAAATACCTGGACATTTTGACGATAATTGTGGTAGGCATACAAGTTTCTGTCCCGTTCAACCGAACAGTTTCAACATCTGCATTGTCAGCTGCGATTCTGATCTCCAGTGACAGCTGGTTAATTTTTCAGATATTCTCCCTTTTTGCTTTGCCAAATTCTACATTCCGATCTCCATTGGATCCCTTTTGTTTATCAGCGATTCTGACTGTGTGTCAAGTCTTCCATGACTTCCAAATCTTCCTCATCAAATGTGACGTGGTTGGTGATTACTGTATTTTATTTCGGGATCCCGATTTCATCTTGTAAATGTTGAGTTCACTGAAGGAGAATCCGTAACTGTGGTTACTCGAAACTTCACTTTTTACCCATCATTAAATTACCAATTTCAAATATATGTTGCAATTTATCTTACTCCTGAACCCTTTCAGTAGAAACATGGGATAATGTTTGAAACTATAAGAGTCAGTACCTTGCCAT